TTCCCATAATCAGGACAAAAGTAGAGTTGGAACAAAGACAGAAAGTTAGCTGCATTCCACCTCAACATGCAGGGTTAGGGTTCAGACTTTTTACTAAAGTAAACCAGGTGAAACTCGGATGCTTCCATTTGAGGTTTGGATAGAGCAGATTAAATGCAAAACGTTTATATATTTTTTACAATATTGGTAAATTGCTGCTCTAAGTGAGTCGCTCTTTCAGCTAAAGGCATTTTTTAAGAGTCTCTGAACTCCAGTTAATGATTCATTGATTAATAAATTAATTAACGACTATTTCAATAATCGATTAATCTGATGGTTTCAGCCCTAATCATCATATATATGAATAATTAGAAAGTTGGATAAGTTCTCAAGGCAGCAAAGGCTCAAACTGGACGGAAACAAAACTGTTCAAAATGCTTTCAGAGTTTATCAAACACAAATGAGGAAACATGAAAAACATTTCTAACATCGCGCAGCACTAACGTGCAATAAATCCCAACATTGATCTGAAACATTTTCAAGGATGATAGTGTTGAAATGATGCATTATCCTAATATCATGTAGCTCTGGATATAAAATTTGCCATTAAAAACAAAAACCTTTAATATGTCATCAGAGCCAAGAAGAGCAAACTGACTGAAATCACAACAGATCACAGCTACCCCCGATGAGTAATGCAATTAATCTACGACAGAGCAGAAAAAAAAATAATAAATAAATAAATGTAAAAAAATTAATAAAAATAAATAAATAAATAAAATAAAAAATATAAAAAAAATAAAAAAAATTCAAAAAGAAATTAAAAATATAAAAAATAATTAAAAAAAATAAATAATTAATTAATTACCTAAAAACAATAATAAAAAAATAAATAAAATAAAAAATAAATTAATAAAAATAAATTAATAAATAAATAAAATAAAAAAATAGAAATAATAAATAGATTAAAAAAAAATAAAAATAAAAAATAAAAAAATAAAAAAAATTAATTAATTCTTTAATTAAAAAATAATAAAATAAATAAATAAAAAAATAGTAATAAAATTTTTTAAAAAAAATAATAAATAAATAAAAAGAGAAAAAGTTAAACTGGTTGTGAGGCAGAGCGTGCTGAGAGCTCCTCCTACCTGTAGGTCAGGCGTGGTGGGCGAGGCCAGGTTGACCTCGTGGAAGCCCTCGAGCGTCTCGGCGTTGCTCTGACCGCCACTGCTGGCCATAGCAGCTGCTTTCAGACATCATCCGCTCTGCAGACGGCAGACATTAGCATTAACCGAGGCTAAAGTCTGGTTATCATTTATATAACCTGCTTTACAAAGTTCACCGTGATGAATCACAGGAGGCAGGAAATCAAAAAAGCTTGTCCAGTTAGAATATTTAGCTTAGCGAGACATTCAATGAGCATCTTTAGAGTAAGGATGATGTTGATGTTCATCTATCCATGCGTTTAGGATTAAATTATTTTCAGTTAAAACATGAAGAATAAGACCAAAACGACATAAAGGCTAAAAGACGAAATGTTGGGACTATTTTCCGCTTCCTGATCTGATTGGAAATCCTGCAGAACAAGTTTTCCGGATCATTTAGAAAGGTTACAGGGAAGTCTGGCTGTTTGGAAGTAAAACAAAAACCAAAGAGCAGATCCTGAGATTTTCCACAGTTTGTCTGCTGAGGCCTGAGCTATAGAGGCGGTTAACTTCCCCTGTATCCTTTATGATCGTACAGCTGATGCTCTGCCTCTTTATCTCAGGGTAAAACCAGGAAGTTAACCTTCTACTGAAAAAACGCTTTGAGGAAAACCCTCATATTCATGAAGTTTGTTCCAGTTCAGACCTCAAAGAGTCTCATTTATCATTGACCAGTGAGATTATCAGCACTCATTTATAGCAGAATGTTAACACTGGTCCGGCTGTAGACGTGGAAACGGGAATAAAACCCTGACCGAACATACTGGATGGAAAGAACAGACAGATCGTTTATAACTGGAGCAAAACTTCATCTACTGACGACACATGGGTGAAATTTAAAGGACGCGTATGTTCCTGTGGTGCTGATGGTACCATAGTTCAGCTGTGGATGGAGAAGCCGACAGGCTCTGGTTCCAGCTGAGCAGAAACAACAATCCTTCACCTGAAAGACACACAGAGGAAAAACATTTATTACATCTTTATATATCATGATCTATGATGCCTTTTTCCAGGTGAATCAGATAGAAACATGGTGATTCCTAATCCTAAAGCCGCAGACAGGCTCCGGTCTGTCTCCCCCGAGCGTTTAAAGCTCAGAGCGCCAACATTAAGTGGTCGTCCATCACAAGCATAGCTCATTTGCAGATGTGCTGAGTCGTGACTTTCAGTTAAAGACTCGATGGACGAAGAGGAAACAACCTGGACTGAGATGGGTTCAGATTTTTTTAGATATTCAGCCCACAATCCTTCAAAGGAGGCAGTTTGATAGAGGAAAAAACCAACAGGAGTAAGATAATAGTGAGAAGCAGTTCTCTGCTGGGTTTCTGCTGAATCATGTGATTAATGGAGTCTGTGGTGCAGCCTGAGCTGCATGCTTCAGCTGTCTGAACAAATATTTGGATCGACTCGGCCGTTCCAGCTTTCCTAACTCCACACATTTTACATGCAGCAATTATTGTGCAGCATCTCTGCAGCTAATCAAGAATCATTGCCTCGGTTTGGGGATTTTTTTTTAGGTCATTCCTGCAGGAAAATAAAAGGTGGTAAGATTCTTAGAAATACAAAATGACAAAGTTTTGTCCTTTCTTCCATTGGATGGAGGAATCAGGAACCAAGAACAGGAGACAGATCCAGATGTTCTTCCACACAGAACATCACCGCCTGGGCCAAACAAAAAAAGCACGGAACTCAGCTTTCAAGCGTGGTGATGGAGAGGCACTGAGGACAAAACCTGAACTCTGGCGTCAGATCAGCGAAGCAGAACCACAGCCAGAAGATCCAGGATCTTTTGCACGACGCCAGCAACACCAGGAGGACGTGGAAAGGCATATGGACGATCACACTTCCTCTCCAGGTAGATGCAGCAAACACTGACTTCCTGAATGAAGTGAACAACTTCTTTGGAAGGTTTGAGGCACTAAACAGCCTCCAGCAGTGAAAGCTGTTCCTCACCTGGACGTAGCTGAAGGGAGGAAAACTCTGAGGAGAGTCAACCCAACAAAGGCAAAGAACTCATGCTCTTCCTCAACACTGAAGTCCTCAGACATTTTTCTTTCGTTGTTTCTTTCTTTGCACAGGTAAAC